AATAAAAAAGCCTTGAGAGAAATTCTTGACAAGGAGGAAATACTGAATCGTCACTCTGAAGAAATCACCGATTGTGATGATAGCGAAGAAAGCTCCATCAGAAGCGAACATTCGGAAACCGAAGAAGAAGATTCGGAAGATTCAGAATCAGATGAAGCTTTGGAAGAAGATGAAGAGCAGGAGGATGAAAATTCAGAACAAGAAAGTGAAGAAGAAGAGCCAAATGACAAAAAGCGTTGCGATCATTGCGATCACCAAGATGTTGACGTAAAAATGATAGCTGCATGCCCAAAATGTCATTGGCACGATGCTTTGTCAAATCCATCTCCTCGCTTCAGTATGATCTTAACCTGCCCGATTTGTAAACATAAATTTCCTCTGAATTATGATACCGCGAAAAGTTACTCCAAACTATGTAAGAATTGTAAAACACTAAGTCACGCCTCGCAACATAGGACATCTGTTTACGATCTTTCTTAAGTTATATTGTAATCACTGATGAATTGAAAAATAAAAAACAACTGAAATAAATGATTGCATTGTTGTTGCTTATTTTAAAATGCTGATGAAACAGGAGCTCATTCTATGGTCAGCTTCGGGCCATTTCCGGTCAGCTTCGGGCCTTTCCGGACAGCTTCGGTCCTTTCCGGAACTTTCGGACAGCTTCGGGCCTTTCCGGTCCTTTCCGGGCCTCTCGGAAGTTTTCAAAGTAATGAATGCCTTTACAATAAAAGTGAGGTATAGTAATCAATAGTTAGAAATATAAAAAGGCTGAAAATCATAATTTTTGGTTATTCAAACTCCTGTAGCAGGTGACCTATTGTCTCAGAACAAAAGTGATCATTAACCTTTTCTTCAGATACTAATTTATGCGATCGCTGAACCTTGACATAAAATATTATCAACATTGCATAATTAGATTACCAACACATAAGTTGTATGACAGGGTTGCCCTCGATTTATCAACACTAACGTTGCATAATTAGATTGCCCACAATTTTATGATAATGAATTACCTCCTACCCGTTTTGACAACCCCTCTCCTATCACTTTTGACTTCATTAGCATACCCACCTACTAAAATAATTTATACCACCTACTCGTTTTGACCACCCCTCCCCTATCACTTTTGACTTCATTAGCATACCCACCTACCACCTATTTTCGGGGCTCGAGAAGCTCTGCTCTTACTACTATGAGGTCTTCACGTCAATATAGTTTGAAGGGCCAGCGCACCCTACTTCGCGAAACCGCGGAAAGGCGGAAAATACTAAAACGCGGAATGACGGAATGGCGGAAAATGGGCTAAAACGCGGACTTCGAAATGAGATTGAAATGCATAAAAATGTTCATAGAATCTAGTTTTCATTCAATCTAAAACTGTTTTTATACAAGCATCAACATATTCATGTCTACTGTACGTCCAGGGGCCCATTTGTGATCTGCCATCACTTCTCAAATACCTTTCGAAAATCAAAATAAACTTGACCTCTCAGCGACGAACTCAAATCAATTCAATTGTCAATAGATGAGGTGACGGTTTTGTACGCCATTTTGGACCGGTAGACATAGTGTCGCAAAATAACAAGGAATGACCGGGAAATCGATGTCAAATAATTCTCGCTGAATTCAAATTCAGAAAGAATTATCATTTGCAAACGTTAGATACTGCAAAAAGGAGTTAACTGGCCAAATTTGAAAGGCGTACTTGATCTAGAGAGCGAGTAAACTCATTTTTAGTTCTCCATACATTTCTTTGTAATTTCAATACATTTCGTTATAATTTCCGGGGTCATCAGTGCGTGACGCGCGTGAAAAATACAAAGAAATGTATTGAGAACTAAAAATAAATTTTCTCGCTCCCTAGACGAAGCACATCCTTCAAATTTGGCCAGTCCGCTCCTTTTTGTAGTATCTAACATTTGCAATTGATAATTCTTTCTGAATTTGAATTCAGCGAGAATTATTTGACATCGATTTCCCGGTCATTCCTTGTTTATTTTGCGACACTATGCCTACCGGTCCAAAATGGCGGACAAAACCGTCACCTCATCTATTCAATCCAACTTATTACTACTATGTATATATACAAGTGCTCATGATTCCATTGGCCTACAAATAGAAACTCAGCGAGTGTTCCTATTTTAGTTACAAACTACCTCTACAGACTATTATCCTTGCCATCAGGCTGAAAAATACCTTTTCAAATACAAACAACGCGCAATACAAAATAAACAACGCCGGTCTGATTGGCTGACGACCATGTAAATATCAGAGGTCATTTTAACATTTATAGTTTAATTATTACGAAAACGTTACAGTCAAAAAACATGAAGCGCGCCCCCTCAAAACACCATTATTCAATTCATTATTCGCGATTCTTGGTAGATTCAGCAATCAAATTTGAAGATGTGATTGGGTTATTGATCGGATTTTCATAAACCCTTCTTCGTATTTCGCTTAAATAAACATACATTATTTTGTAATTTCCACAAGTCGATGCATTGCAATATGCTGTCTGTTAATTTGGCTGGATCTGTTCCTTTTCTTGAGAAAGGAATGATGTTCTCAAAAAGATAGATACGCTGTGTTGTTTTCTGTCATTATCAGAGTTCGAGTTTTGAATTTAATTTTGCATTAATCAACTGAAGCTTGAAAACGAAAAATAAAATGAAAAATTCAAAATGCATTGACTATTAGGGGGGCTCGCTTCATGTCTTTTGACTGTAAAATCCACCACTGATCGCTTCATTTGAATGACGAAAATTTCGCAAATAGATGATTGCAATACTTATTAAAAAGCACATTCCAAGAAATTCGATACAGTCAGCGGTTCGATGTAAACACGCGGGCTCATGTATTAGTGAAGCAAGGACATGGGATTTTAACAGCATAAAAGCGGTTTCTTGTCAAAAATCCACTTATATATCTAAGTTTATGCTCTCTGAACTGTAGTTTCTCTTTGTATTTAAAAAAGCGACGCCTTTCTTTCATCTGACATATCTCTTTGTATTGTTTCGATATCCCCGCCAAAATCTTTCACACAGGAAACCCGAAATGCTTATTTTGSTARARAATGCCTWTTTTGCTACATGAAGAGACATGGGAGGTTACTAAGGAATAAACAGAAACAAATGGCGTGCTAGATCATGTAGAAGTACGAAATMTCTTGTTTCTGCTMAAAAAAATYGACTTGGACCTTCGCATTCCACAATCCGAGAGGTCAAAGAATGGCAGTTCTTCGAAGGAAAATGGAACCGGTTTAGTTTTCTGGGAATGAGTAGCTTTAACGGCTTTTTTTTTTTCTCTGGCAATTGGTGTTACTTACTTAACGTTTCAGGTGATTTAATTGCGTGTGTAAATAAAAGCCTCAGGGACATTGATTCCACAGTCAAATTTCATGTGAAAACTGCAGCGATTTGAATAGGTGATAGCATGTTTTGTATCTGTATTTATCCCAAATTCCACGTACAAAACACGCTATCATTTGTTTATAAAATGGCTGAATAAAATTGTGCAACTCAAAATATTACTGTAAAGGATAATTACCACACCTCTAAGCCAATCAAATTGCATAATTTTATTCAACGATATTATAAGCATTGAAATTTCGAGCATGTTCAAATTTGCTGTTAGATAMCTGCGAGCTGTCGTCGTTAACTGGTCTATGGTCGTGCACTTGTATGGACCGACGAATGCCAATTTTGTCTGCA